CACCTGTCCCAAGTCTTGAGAAATAACCTGTCCCAAGTCTTGAGACGTAACCTGTCCCGAGTCTTGAGAAGTCACTTGTCCCAAGTCTTGAGAAGTCACCTGCTCCAAGTCTTGAGGAGTCACCTTTTCCAAGTCTTGAGAAGTCACCTGACCCATGCCTTGCACAACCGGTCCCTCTCGTACTGTTTCTGATGCACTGTCACTGACGAATGCGGTCTGTGCCTGACTCGGTCTCTGCAAGTACCGGTCTCTGTATGACACGGCATGTGTCGTCTCTTCGTAACCCAGGTGCGGCAGACAACACGTAAGGCAGAGACCCTCGCCGGCAGAGACCGATTCTTGCAGAGGCTGGTTAGTGCAGACACCGAGGCAGGCAGCAACCGGGTGAGACAGAGGCCGAGTCCGGCATAGACAGGGTGAGGCATTCACCTAGTTTGGCATTCATCTCTTAGGGTGGGTTTAGAAAAGGTTTTGAAATTTTAAAAAAATCGGAAAATCAAAAAATGCTGAAAATTGTCTGAAAAGCGCACAAATCCAAAAGATTTTGAAAACTTTGAAAAGAAATTTATTGTGAGAATTTTCAATTTTTTTGGTTTTGTGCGCTTTTTGGACAATTTGCAGAATTTTTTGATTTTTTGAAAATTTTGAAATTTTTCAAAATTCCCCCACCCGATGCCTTGCACAACCGGTCCCTCTCGTACTGTTTCTGATGTACTGTGTCTCTGAAGAATGCGGTTGTGCCTGACTCGGTCTCTGCAAGGACCGGTCCCTGTATGACACGGCACTCACTTGCCGCCTCTTCGTAACCCAGGCAGAGACCGAGTCGTGCAGAGGTCGGTTAGTGCAGACACCGAGGCAGGCGGCAACCGGGTGAGACAGGGGCCGAGTTCGGGAGAGACAGGGTGAGGCATTCACCGAGTTTGGCAGGCATCTCCTAAGGAGGGTTTAGAAGAGTTGAAATTTTTCAAAATTTTCGAAAAATCAAAAAATGCTGCAAATTGTCTGAAAAGCGCACAAAACCAAATTTTTTGAGAATTTTGAAAAAATTTAATGTGAAATTTTACAATTCACTTGTACCAAGCCTTGATAAGTCCCAAGTCCTCAGACGTCACCTGTCCCAAGTCTTGAGAAGTCACCTGTCCCACGTCTTGAGAAGTCATTTGTCCCAAGTCTTAAGAAGTCACCTGTCCCAAGTCTTGAGACGTCACCTGTCTCAAGTCTTGAGAAGTCACCTGTCCCACGTCTTGAGAAGTCATTTGTCCCAAGTCTTAAGAAGTCACCTGTCCCAAGTCTTGAGATAGAAAAGTTTTTGAAATTTTCCAAAATTTTCGAAAAATCAAAAAATGCTGGAAATTGTCTGAAAAGCGCACAAAACCAAATTTGTTTTGGAAATTTTGGAAAAAATGTAATGTGAAATTTTTCAATTTTTTTGGTTTTGTGCGCTTTTTGGACAATTTGCATTTTTTTATTTTTTAAATTTTTAAATTTTGCAAAGTTCCTCCACCCGATGCTTTGCACAACCGGTTTCTCTCGTTGTTTTTGATGTACTGTGTCTCTGACTCGGTCTCTGTATGACACGGAACTGACGTGCCGTCTCTTCGTAACCCAGGGCCGGCAGACAACACGTAAGGCAGAGACCCTCACCGGCAGAGACCGAGTCCTGCAGAGGCCGCTTAGTGCAGACACCGAGGCAGGCAGCAACCGGGTGAGGCATTCACCGAGTTTGGCAGGCATCTCTTACATATACATTTTTTAAAAAATTTCAAAATTTTCGAAAAATCACAAAATGCTGGAAATTGTCTGAAATGCGCACAAAATCAAAATTTTTGAAAATTGTGTAAAAATTCTAATGTGAAATTTTTCAATTTTTTTGGTTTTGTGCGCTTTTTGGACAATTTGCAGCAGTTTTTGATTTTTTGAGAATTTTGAAATTTTTCAAAATTACCCACCCGATGCCTTGCACAACTGATCCCTCTCGTACTGTTTCTGATGTACCGACAATATCCTGGGTTACGTAAGTGCCGTGTCATACAGAGACCGGTTCGTGCAGAGACCGCGTTCGTCAGACAGTTCATCAGAGACAGTCAGGCAGAGACCGGTTATGCCAGCCATCTGGTGGGGAGAATTTCGAAAGTAATTTTTAAAAATTTGAAACTTATCAAAAAATTAGAAAATGCTGGAAATAGTCCAAAAAGCGCCCAAACAATATATTTTTGAAAAATTTCACATTCAAATTTTTTTAAATATTTCAAATAATTTCAGATGTGTGCTTTTAAGAGTATTTCCTGTGGTTTTTGATTTTTCGAAAATTTTGCAAAATTTTAACATTTTTTGAAATCTCTCCCCAAGTTATGAATGCCAGACTCGGTGAATGCCTCACCTGGTCTCTGCCGGACTCGGCCTCTACCGTACCCGGTTCCTGCCTGCTTCGGGGTCTGCATCAACTGGCCTCTGCAGGACTCTCTCTGTGACTGACAGTGTCTCTGCCGGTCTCGGTCTCTGACACCCGTCTCTGCCGCACGCGTTATGTGCCGAGACGGCACGCCAGAGACCGTGTCATACAGAGGCCGGTTCGTAGACCGAGTCAGGCAAAGTCCGCATTCGTCAGAGACACAGTAAATCAGATACAGTCCTACAGATACCGGTTCTGACAGGTATCTGGTGGGAAGAATTTTGATGAAATTTTGAAATTTTAGAAAATGTTCTAAAAATAAATAAATACTGAAACTTGTCCAAAAGGAGCACAAAACAATTTTTTTTAAAAATTGCACATTGAAATTTTTTCAAATATTTCAAATTTTTTGGTTTTGTGCTCTTTTTGGACAAAATTTTGAAAATTTTTAAAAAATGTAGAAATAGCTCTAAACGTTGGGAAAGGCGAAAGTAACTAATATTTTTGAAAATTTAGAAAAAATTTAATGTAGGAATTTTTCCAAAAATGTATGCTTTGTGCGCTATTTGGACATTTTCCTATATATTTTTTTATTTTTCGGTAATTTTGAAAAATGATATTTCTTTAAAATGTCTTCCCACCCATTTCACACGCCGGACCAGCTCTCTCCTACCCGGTCTGTGCCGTACTGTTTCTGACGTACGCGGTCTGTTCCGGAACCAGTCTCTTCTGGATCCG